TGGGTTTATTATTCATAGTCTAAAAATCCCTCATGCTTCAGGTTACTTAGAAATTATACATTTCACTCACACATATGTACATACATACCACCTACATAACAACCACAAGTTATCAGATGCTATCATAACCACACAGATACCAAGAAAATGAGTGCCTCCAGATGGGTAAAAAATGTCAGGAAGTATAGACATTTCCCAGTTCTTTTTGTATCTGCATATTCATGAGTTTGCATCCAATGTCTTTCTTGGAATATCAATTCCTTTCCTTCCTTCCTTCCTTCCCTTTCTCTTTGCCTTTTTGCTGTTCATATGTGATGAACATTTTCGTGAGTCATGCAACATTTGATAAAATTATTTTCACCAATTTCCACGTAGGATAATTTTGCTGTAGTGGTAACATTCCCATTCCCTTGCTTCACTTCTGTTGAATCTGTGTCCTGGAAAGAACAACTGTGTTTATTTGACAGCAGCCATCTTTACTGCTTCTGAGACAACAGGAACACACAGTACAGACACATTTCATTTTGGAAAGTAGTAGGTTAATTAAAACTGAAATGGGGAATGGAAATGAAAAGTTTTTACTAATGCCGGGAGCTCCCAGTTAATAGTACGGAATGATGAAATCATCATATGGATCTCCAAAATAAATCAGTTTGTACAGAAACAAAACCTGGGACCTCCAGAGACTTTTTTCCCATCTGGAAGCACCCACTCTTTCCAAACCTTTAACAGATACTATAAAATGATTTAATGAATCTCTAAGAAAGGAATATTTTATGGTTGAAAGATAGCCGCTGAAAACACCTTCTACAAATGCTTCCTAGAAAAACTTTTACTGGACAAATGTATTTCTTTGCTCACTGAAGGAGGACTAGATATTGTCCTCAGTTTGTACTAATCCTATGTTTTCTCACGCCTTGTCTTTTTTCTTACCAGAGAAAATACAAAGACACAACAGCTATAGTTTTTAATGGTGAGCAGTGTTGGCATATCCTAACACCTCTCCAGCTGAATATGGGGTGTTCATATTTAAGATCTAATGTGGAGCAGAACTGGAAGTCACAATGACCTGATATGTGCTTTGTGGGATCGCAATGTCCCAAGGAAGTTAAAAGACAACAGTGTTGGGGTCACTTGACCTAGGACATGCCAGGCCTAGATAGAACAAAAGGACAAGCACCATGGGTTATGCTAACCATAACACATTCCTCCTAACTGCTTATTTTATGCTTTCTATGGGGAGCGAAATGAAAACAACAAACTGACAGAGACCAAAATCCTGTTTTCCCTCTTTGAAGTTCCTCTCCACTTCCTCTGCCTGTCTGATCATCAAAGGTTTGTTTCAGATTGCATCAATGCATTAACATATTGGTGCTAAAAATCCATAAGTTTTCCAGACCAGTTTGTCTGTTCTCAGGAAAAGCATTAAAGCTTTTCCCATGCCTTTTGGGGTACACAAACACTTCTTCAAGAGCAAGAAAAAAGGATAAAAACCCCTCAAACCTCACCCATATTGTTCACTTTTTCTAGGTGTAACCTCAGATCACTGTTCAAGTCACCAGTATTTTTTCTAAGTTCACTTTTTCCACATGCACCCTCAGATGCTGCCCTAAGTTTCAGGGTTTGCTCTTTCTTGGCTTCTCTTGGCTGCAGTCCAAGTTTTAAACTTTTTTTTACATTTGCTTTTTATTGATGTTCCCTTGGCTGCCTCCAGGCATTTCTACAGACGTCCCTCTACTGAACTGGTAATTATTTCCCACTTAACCCTTAAGTGCCTTCTATCCAAGTCTAAACTCTCCTTTCTGTAGCCTTGTATGAACCTCTGATTGTTTTGTTCTGTTTGTGTGTGTGTGTGTGTGTGTGTGTGTGTATGGTGTACACATGCACCTTTTGCACATTTCTAAATAAAAACATCTTATTTACATTAAACTGGAGCGTTTGTTTTAGTTAGCAGTGATATAAATATGTGTAGAAAGATCCTAGTAAATTATCCACCTCTGTATGCTTCCTTTTGAGCTAATTAATTCCCCAACATTCAAAGGAGACACTGACTCTGACTCCAAGTCCCCCCCCCCCTATTTTGGGGGGCAACAGTAATAGGAGTGTAGTCTTGAACCACATTCTTCATCCCTGAGATCCTGAACTGGATCAACATGCCTCCTGGTACACCATTAAATTTGCATGACAATCCAGTAGAATCCCAGGATGTATATTTCTGGCTTTTAATGGAACAAGTGTATGCATCAGGATTGCCTTTAGAAGCTACACAAGCCTCTAGTTAAGTAAAGATGCTTTTGTTCATTTGTTTTGCACCAAGGTAGAAATTGTATGGTCCCTAAAGATCATTTTTGCAGCCCTGGGGTTTCTTCCACCCTTTCCCAGATTTAGGGGAGGAGAAAGCAGGGAAGAAAAGATAACCACTCCTGAAAGTTGTCACCCTGGAAGCCTTTCAAAGAAGGAGCAGCCTGCTGCCTGACATACCTTTTTACAGTTAGAAAAGTATTTTTAAAAAACTAAAGGTGGATTTTTACCCACTTCTGTATCCATTTTTTTTCTGTTCCCCTCCCCCACACACACACACATTTTCCAAGTGCAGATCCTCAGAACTTGCTCTCTCATTTTATATAATGAAATAGCATGTAGAAGGGTGGGATATAAATATTAAAAATAAAAAGAATCAAACAAAAAGAATCAGAATCACATTTGAACTGGGCCACCGACACACAGCTGAGCTGTCATTTCATGCAGGGTACATGCCAGATAGTCAAAGATGGGAAACCCACAAGGTCCTTGAGCCACCCTATGCTGATGACTTAGGGCCTTTGCAGACTGCTAGAAATAGTGCAAACTGAGTCCACTTTAAGGGTTAGGATTAGGGAATCATGGGAACTGTATTTTATTGTGTCACCAGAGCTCTCTGACAGAGAAGGCTCAATGTCTCAGAAAAAACAACAATCCCCATGATTCCCTAGCACTAACCCTAACCCTAAAAGTGGTCTCAATTTGCACTATTTCTGGCAGTCTGCAAAGGCCCTTAGTTAGGGGAATGATGATAAATGAAGCTGGATGAGAAAAATCTAAGCAAATATGACCATAAGGCCTTATGGTGTACAAAAGCCTGAGATTTATTGGAAAGTGGCAAAAAACTCTTACACAGCCGCTGCATCCCATAACCACTGATCACCCAGCTCACTTTTCCACTCCCATTTAGCAAATCCTCATGTAACATGAGGAATGAAATGAAAGGGATAAATTCTCAGTGCCAAATTATTTGTGAGACAATTTTTCTTTTTCTTTCAGTTTACCATACAGTATTTTCTCTCTCTCTCATTCAAGAATCAGTTTCACTTTCTATGAAAATGATTCTGTATTTTTATGTCTTTCCCCAAAGAAAGAAAAAAATCAGCTGATGGGGGCAAGGAAAGAGGAAGAAATGTTCTGTGAAAAACTACACCCAGGAAATGGATTAAGAGAGTGACTTTGCTTTTTTTCACAACGTTCTTACATTTCACACTGGAGTCTCTACCCTTGCTTTGGGTTGGACCTGGCTGAAAAAAAAATCAGAATGGAACTCTCCGGAGTCAGCCAGTTCTACTCTCTCACCAGAAAGTTCCCACAAGCTCTTGGTCTCAGTTTATCAGCTCCTCCTCATCTCTTGCTGACCCCTTGTCCTGCCACATACCTGATTTCTCATTGACCTCTACTTTCATTTGTGGGAACAAGTACTGTACTGTAACTGGGATCACTCGATAAAAACCTCAAATGATATAAACATGTAAAACGTTGGACTGTTAGAGAATTCCACGTCAACTAAACAATCTAAGCCCTAAGGTTGTTGCTTTTTTATTGACAGTGAAAACAATATCATATCTGGAGCTTATTCATAACAAGCAGAAGAGTTACACCAAGATTTCTGAACAAAATTTTCCTTCCAGCAAGAAGGAATGGACTATTTTCACTACTGTGGTATGAAGCCACCTTGTCAAAAAGTAAATGCTGTTGAACTCAACAAAGTTTACTCTACTTGAACACTGAACTGAGAGGGAAGCAGATTTCTATTTTCTCCAGGAGAAATTGGAACTGTTAACTAATGAAATGCTCCCCTGATATGTAGAATGGTATTGGCAACAAGACAAATTAACAAATCTTGAGAAAATAATGAAGGCATTCGTGCATGGCATGTTTTGTACTGATTTGCGTCAGCCAGCTTTTAATCACCTTAGCAGCATGTGGCCTAAAAATCAAATATTTCATAGCAAATAGAAGGTTTAGTGAACAATCATCTCCTGGGAAAGGGAAATAGTGTGTTCCTGGATGTTGCAGGCCTCCCTCTTCACCAAGGGAAGAGAATACCACCTGAAGAGAAGAAGCTCCTTTTGCAGAGGTCCTCCCCTGATGGCCACGGAAAGGTTTCTGGCAATTGCTACTCTGCTTGGGGAGTAGGGGATTAAAAGACACCATATAAGGAGAGAGCCAGCATGGCATACTGGTTTGAGCATTGGACCATGTCTCTGGAGACAACGGATCAAAGCAAAGCAAAGCAAAGCAAAGCAGCTTCATTTATATACCGCTTCATACTGTGCTATGCAATGTCTAAGCGGTTTACAACTGTAAGCTCCTTGCCCCCCAACAGTTGGGTACTCATTTTAGCAACCTTGGAAGGATGCAGGCCTGAGTCTAGCCTGAGCCCTGGCTAGTATGAACTCGCAACCTTGTGGTTTATGAGTGAGTGGCTGCAGTACAGGCATTTAACCACTGCGCCACCAGGGCTCCTTGTGTGGATCAAATTCTTGCTCAACCATGGAAACCTACTGGGTGACCTTGGACAAGTCACGTGCTCCCAGCCTCAAAAGAAGGCAAAGGCAAACCTGCTGGGAGCAAACTCTGCCAAAAACTCCAACCCATGCCAGGGTCACCTTAGGGTCGCCACAAGTTGCAAATGACTTGAAGGCACACAACAACAACAACAACAACAATGGAAAGAAGTACCTAAAGGCAGAGCCAGCATAGCATAGTGGTTTGAATGTTGGACTACAACTCTGGAAGCCGGGGTTCAACTCCCAGCTTGGCCCAAAGTACACTGGGTGATTTTGGGCAAGTAACATGCTCTCAGCCTCAGGGAAAGGCAATGACAGACCACCTCTGAACAAATCTTGCCAAGAAAACCCCATGATAGAATGACCTTAGGGTCTCCATAAGTCAGAAATGACTCGAAGGCACACAACAACAACAACAGACCATAAAGGCACCAGATCCCATCTGATCTTGGAAGCTAAGCAGGGTTTGCTCTGGTTAGTACGAGACTGCCAATGAATCCCAGGTGCTGTAGGCTGTATTTCAGAGGAAGGAACTGGCAAAAACACCTCTGAGTATTCCTTGCTCAAGAAACCTCTATGAAATTTATGATGTTACTGTAGGCTAACAGGCATCTTGAAGGTGTGTGTGCGCGTGCACACACACACACACACACACAGATACACACACACACAGAGCTCCAAACCACCTCAGAAGCTAGGCATACGAGAAAGGATATGTCAGAGATTAGTGTTCTTGTTTTCTCTCCCACTGGGACCAAATGAGACCATTTTTTCCCAAAAATAATTCTCCCCTCCCCAAAAGTAGCTCACAAATCAAAGAAACAAAATAGCTAATACTAGAAGCGAAAATATGACACAAAGCACCTATCAGTACAATGTTCAAAACACTAAAGCTCAAAACAGTAAGATAATCATAAGCACATTCCAAACCCAAAACATTTTCAAACTCCATCAAAAAAATGTAGAAAGGAAGCTGGCAGGGGAAGGTTTCATACAAGAATATTTCATATCAAGAAAAATGAGTGGCATCATCACCAAATGCTCCAGCTTCCCTATCAAATTTTGCTAATGGTGGGCTGCTCAGAAAGTTCAAGTAGTCAGCTAACTTACTAGAACTTGCAACCTGAAAATTTTATAATAGCGTACAACCTGTCTGGCTATTTTATTTCAAGCTCAAAAGACTGCTGCAATCATGTCAAGCAGACATTTTCGCCATGCCTACCAGACCAATTTCACTGCTATGGCCAGCCTCAGACCCACCCTATTAAGGGCCTAGAGAGGTATTCCAGTGCCTGCCCTTCAGTAATTAAGGGCCTTTACAGTCTGCCAGAAATAATGCAGCTTGAGGCCACTTTAACTGTCCTGGCTCAATGCTAATGAATCATGGGAATTGTATTTATTTTTTTTTTTTGAGACATTGAGCCTTCTCTGTCAGAGAGCTCTGGTGCCACAATAAACTACAGTTCCCATGATTCCTTAGCACTAAGCCAGGACAGTTAAAGTGGCCTCAAGCTGCATTATTTCTGGCAGTCTGTAAAGGCCCTAACTACACTTTTTCTAGAGACTTTGTGCTTTCCAGAAATAGTGTAAGCTATTTTCATTCCAATTTGCTTTTAAAATATGTTTGAAATCTGTGTGATGTACTTCTAAGCAAATGAGGTTTGGGCCAAATCAAAATAAGAATGTTGACTAAAACAAAAATAAAAATCTGTGGCTATTTTAAACATGTTTATAATTATAATTTTCCCCTCTGAATTTCAGGAAGCTTATTTTTAACATTTTGATTCCCCCTATCCAAAAATATTTTACAATCTCATTTCCTTAAACCAGGATCTCTAAAGAGCATTCCTGTTACTCAGCTCCTACTGAAATGAACAGAAGCTGCACTTCAACAGTGACTGATAGGAATATATAAAAAGTGAATTTGTTCCCAGGCAGAAGGGATACTCAAGATATGCAACCTCACAGATAGCTGAGGCGCCAAGCAAAGCACCCTATGAATGGTTTAAGAAAAAAACAGGCAAACTTGCAGCAGATGTGGAAAGACCTAGAAAAAAGCAACAACAGTGGTTTCTACACACAAGAATGAGATGGCAAACCTTGCAAGCCTTGACAGACTAGAAAGGTTCCTAACTGCTTTTTGTCAAATACCAGGCCAATTACACTATTAGGCACAGGTACAACACCTGTCTCAAACAGCAGATACTGGGGGACAATATTATCAAAATCAAAAATTGGAGAGCTTTTAATGAAATCCATGAGAGAGAAAGAAGCCATGTCTCAGGATGCTAGAAGACTGTCATCATTAGCTAAAAAGCCTGACACATTTCAGCCTATGGATATCTTTAACGTCTTCCTCAAGGGGCCATTCTTAAGGCACATGACCCATAGCCTGAAACCGCTAGGCACTATTCCCAACCCAGGGTGGCAGAAAGCACACAGTCCTCAGTTTAAGAGACCCTCTGATGATTGCCTGAAGCTGTTATGGTGGGTGACAACCAGGTGCATGAGCAAAGTCTGAGTCTCTCAAACTATCAGTAGAAGTAGAATTCAAAGATATAGCCATGTTAGTCTATAAAAACTTGTAGCACCATTGACACTAACTGAAAGAAAGAAGTTGGCAGCATAAGCTTTCGTAAAAGTGTCAGAGTTCTTCATTAGGCTGCTGGCTCTGGCTGTTCTCTACCTCTTGACAAGGGGGTGGCTGGAAAGCACAGGGGAAGGGGTGGAGATCAGAGGGCAAGGAGTTAAAAGTGAATTGAGTAACTGGACGTTATTTTTGTGGAAATATATGAATGAGTGTAAAGAGATGATACCTTTTAAAAATGCATTTTAATTCTAATTCAGGACAACTTTGTTTCATTTATCATTGTATCTTGTTTTTCTTCTAACCCACCCAAAGCTCTTTGTAATTGAGCAGCCAATAGTGTTAATAAAAGAATTACGGTAATGTTGTATCTACACATGGGTTTTTTAAAAAGACCCTCAGCCCTGCCACTGACTTTTAACCTATATAATTCTTGACATAATCTCTGGAAAAAGTATTAACAGTATTCATTTCCTTTTCAGTGTTTCTGACCTTGCCTAAGGAAATGTCACATCACACTACACATGCTCCACTTGACATCAAGATAAACACCTGAGATTTAACTGGATGTATATTGGGCTTAAAGTGTCACATAAGGTAAGATACATGAAGGGAACAGAGGAAAGGGCATAAATATCATGTTCCCCATGAAAACATGAACATATGAACGCTACTTCACTTAATGATCTTCACCTTCACTTGTCTCCATTTCCAAGGGTAGCCAAATTTAGGCAGGAATGCACACCCTTTAGGCATTGCAGTACTGCATAATCCAAAGAGCACAAGAGAACTGACCCATGAAAACTGCTATTTTGCCCACAGTATTTCAGCATAAGGTGTCCCAGATTTGGGCAAGAGGGATTGTGTTGCAAAAAGGTTACAAACAAAGCTGCTGTCCACTACATCCATACCTGTGCATTCCACAAGTTATGAACAATTTTATAAACATGCTGTTGTTGTTGTTGTTGTTGTGTGTCTTTAAGTCACGTCCAACCTATGGTAACCCTAAGGCGAATCTATCACAGAGTTTTCTTGGTAAGATTCATGCAGAAGAGGTCTGCTTTTGCCTTTGTGTGAGACTGAATGTGACTTGTCCAAGGTCACCCAGGCGATTTTCATGGCTGAGCAGGGATTCAAACCTTGGTGTCCAGAGCCTTAGTCTAATGCTGAAACCATTACGTTGCACTGGATCTCCACACATGCCTACCAAAATTCACTCTCAGACAAAAAAAATGTTACTCTCTCAATTTCAACAGGAAGGTTAATTTATGTTCTTTTATCCTTCCTATTGCAATAAAGAGGCTTCAAAATACTTAATATTGCCTGGGCAGTAGCCTACAAAAGAAAACATCAAAATGCATTTTAATATTCTGATTCTTCAAATGTAAAAAATTATGAGCACATCAAAAATGATTTAAAGGTTCCAGATTTTGTTTCCCATTTTATGGGAACCTATACTGGGGTTTTCTTGGCAAGATTTGTTCAGGGGTGGTAGGCTGCCTTTGCCTTTGTCTTCTTTTGAACATGAGAAAATGTAGTTTGTCCAAGATCACCCAGTAAGTTTTCATTGCCGGGCAGAGATTTGAATCCAACTCTTCGAGGTCATAGTCCCATACTCAAACCACTACACCCTGCTGGCTCTCTGATTTTACACTGGGTTAAAATAAAGCTACCTGGGGAGCTGGTATAAAAAATCTCTGATTGTTCTGGGAGCTGACAGAAAATATTCTGGGATAAACAAAATGTGTATGAATCTTTAAAATAAAATCAGAAAGAACAGGAACAAAATCTGGGACTTTCCAATCTTTTAAATCAGTCTGGCTATGCCATATAACAGTATTTTTAAAAAATAAACCTAAACAGTTTGAGGACTGCTGGTTTACAAGCTGAATGGCTGTTCCACAAACAGAAGGTTTCTGAACCAGCAGAAGCTCCTGCTGCCAGAAAGGGATAATGCTATTTTTGCCACTTCTTCTTCTCCTTACCCTAAACTACCTCCCATACTATCCCAAAGGATCCACCAACCCAAAACAGCATACTACTGGAGCACATAGAAGTGGCAGAAAGAATCACAAGGAAAAAACTTTCTTCAATCCTTCCATTAGCAAAGGGCTGGGGGGACGTTTGGCCACCTGTTACTAGAAGGCAACTTCCATGACGTTTCACCATGGCCCATGTTGGCTGGGGCAATGGGAATTAAAGTCCAACATTTCCCACTCCTGCCCTAGCAAAACCACACTAAGAGTTCCATTCACAGGATCTCTGGATCCAAGCCACTATGGAACACCAATGAGCCTTTCATTCTTTATGCATCATAAAGAAAACAATAATGTAAAGTCTACATACAGATTACATGAGGGTGGAAATTCTTTACACAAGAGTAACTAAAGATAAGTAGGATTGCCAAAGTGCTTTACAAAATTACAGGATTATTATTCAGCATTTGGGTCCTCATTTTATCATATATATTATTCTACAGAATGAAAAACAGTCTTCTTGTAATAAAATGCTTCTCATTGCTTTTTCTTATTTAAAAATTAGACTTTCAGTAACAATGCCAAAAGCTATTATTGATTAAAAGATTCCAAATCACCTATCCATTCAGAATAGCCACTGAAGAGATACACAACAATCCTACATCTGAACAGTCAGATGAGAAGCAGAAGA